AAGGCGCTTATGGGTCTTGATGAGACCGCGTATTGCGAATACCACCAGAGGGTCGGCCACCTCACCGACAATTGCAAACAACTGAGGATGGCCATCGACGAACTGGTCCGACAAGGCTACCTGGGCGAGTTCACCCAGCTGCTGAAGAAGAATAGCCCGAGGCAGCCGAATCTGAGGTCACGGTCATGGCGCCGCGACGATCGGCACGAGGCTGAACCAAAGGACGTAGATTATCGAAGTGCTGATAAACGCCCGGAGGGGTCCCTCAGCCCGAACGGCGGGAAGAAGAAGTTGGAGATCAAGGTGATCTTCGGGGGTGCTGAGACCGGGGACACGCCTGCTGAGCGGAAGAAGTTCGAGAGGTCCCTCTATGTGGGCTCCATATCAGCTCCCCCCACTAAAAGGAACAAAATGGAGGCCATCACCTTTGGACCAGCCGACCTACCAATGTCACCGGCCCCACACAGGGATGAGTTGGTGATCAGCATGGATATCAACAATGCGATCGTCCGACGCGTCCTTGTTGCCACTGGGAGCAGCGTGAACGTCCTCTACTGGGAGGCGTTCGAAGGGATGAAGCTGAGGAAGGATCAGTTGGCCCCCCTTGCGCACCCTTCTTTCTGGCTTCACAGGGGACTGCATCGACGCGGAGGGCACCATCGGCCTCCCCGTTGAGATCGGGGATGGACCTCACACCACCCGCATCCGGATGACGTTCGTCGTGGTCCACCTGAAGTGTGCTCACAACGCCATTTTGGGACGGCCCAGCTTGGAAGATCTGGAGGCCATATGCTCTGTACGGCATTCATGCATCAAATTCCCCACTGACACCGGGGTGGGAGTGGCCCGTACGGATCCGCATATGGCCAGGGCTTGCTACACCAAGGCCATGGAAAGGTTCAACAAGCGGGAGGCCCGGGTTAACAACATTATTGAAAAGGCCAGACAAGCCGAGTTTGACGCTCGTCTTGAACCAGCTGCCCTGCTCGAAGAAGTGGAGCTGGATGACCCGTCGGACAGGAAGGTATCCATAGGCGCCGACCTTGAGCCTGAGATCTAGGAGGGGGTCATAGCCGTCCTCCGGAAATTCAAGATCCTATTCGCCAGGGGGCCGGAGGACATGCCAGGCATTGATCCCAACCTCATATGTCACAGACTCGCCGTGCGGCCGGACGCCAAGCCCGTTCAACAAAAGAAGAGATACATGGCGGCTGACCGGCGAGACTTCATCAAAAAGGAGGCTACTACGCTCCTCAGCATCAGGCACATCCGGCCGGTCATCCACGTGGAGTGGTTGGCTAATGTGGTATTAGCCCCAAAAGGCGACACATGGCGGATGTGCGTCGATTATTCGGACCTCAACAAAGCCTGTCCGATGGACCCATATCCGGTGCCGAGAATCGACTTGCTCGTAGACGAGACGGCGGGCTGCGAATTGCTCAGCTTCATGGATGCATTCAGAGAGTACCATCAGGTGTTCATGCACCCGGATGACGCAGAGAAAACGGCGTTCGTCACGGCGGACGACGTGTACTGTTACGTGGTCATGCCGTTCGGCCTGAGGAACGCCATGGCTACTTTCCAGAGGATGATCGGGATGTTGTTCAAAGACGTACTGGGCAAAACCATGGAGGCTTACGTGGATGACATCCTGATCAAGAGCAAGAAGAAGGAGGACCACGTACGAGACATGGAGAAGATCTTCACCATCATGGAAGGGGCTAGCATGAGACTCAATCCGAAGAAATGTGCCTTTGCCGTCAAGGGTGGCAAGTTCCTCGGTTACATGATGAGCGAACGGGGGATCGAGCCTAACCCAGAGAAGGTAAAGACAATAGTTGATATGGAGGCCCCAAAAAATCTGAAGGACGTACAGCGGCTCACCGGACGACTGGAAGCCCTGAGCCGATTCATGTCAAAACTAGCAGACAAGGCGATCCCTTTCTTTCAGATCATGAAAAAGGCGAATCCCTTTGAGTGGACACCGGACTACCAGGCTGCCTTTGAGGATTTCAAGGTATACCTCTCCTCTCCGCTCGTCCTCACCAAGGCGGACCCGGGGGAGCAATTATACATGTATCTGGCGGTAGCGGACCTGGACGTGAGTGCTGTACTACTCAAGGAGGCGGAGGGCATTCAGCGACCAATCTATTTTGTGAGCAAGGCGCTGAACGGCCCAGAAACCAGATGCACACTGATGGAGAAGACGGTCCTCGCCTTGATAGCATCCATCAAACGCCTGGCACCGTACTTCCAAGCGCACCCAGTCACAGTATACACAACACAACCTCTCGCCACAATCCTCAGAAACCCCATGGCCAGCGGGAGGATAACCAAATGGTCCCTGATGATCGGACAGTACAACATAGAGTTCAAGCCGAGGCCGACGATCAAGGGGCAGGCGCTGGCAGATTTCATTGCCGAATGTACTGCGCACACCGAGGATGATCCCCAAGGCGACAACGATTTCAACAACTGGTGGGAGATGTACACCGATGGGGCCTCGAGTGCGCGGGGCTGTGGCGGAGGAGCAGTGATCACTTCACCTGAGGGTTTCAAGGCCTATTACTCCATGAAGTTCGATTTCAAAGTCACCAACAACGAGGCTGAGTACGAGGCACTGATAGCAGGACTGAAATGTGCGAAGGCACTCGGCGCAGCTCGTCTGAAGGTGAGGATGGACAGCCAGCTGGTGGTAACCCAGATGAATGGGACGGCGGAAACCAGAGAGGAAAGGATGAAGGTCTACAAGGAACTCGCGGAGGAACAAACCGCGCAGTTCGAACAAGTGATAATCGAGCAGGTATCGCGGGTGGAGAACGCCGAGGCTGACATATTATCCAAGCTAGGCAATCCCCCAACCGATGACCCCGCGACGGACATCCCCCGGCACATTAGGGGCTTCGTCAGACAAGAGACACTCCCAGCACCGGCGACGGACGTCATCCAAGTAGAAGCCATCTCCGTCGCCGAACCTAATTGGTCGAAGGAAATCGCCGACTACCTCAGGGATGGGACGCTCCCCGAGCCTGGAGATGATGGCAGCTCCGGGAGAGCAGCTTGGATAAAGAGACGTGCCCCCAATTTTGAACTCATTGACGGGCAACTTTACAAAAAGACGTTCGGCGGACCATACTTGAGATGCCTCCCACCGAGCTTGGCAGCGGCCGTTATTGAAGAGATACATGAAGGCATTTGCTCCAGCCACCAGGGTCCTCGTACCTTGGCCCGGAAAATCATCCTGCAGGGATACTACTGGCCTACCATCCAGCAGGATTGCTTCAGTCATACTCGGAAATGTGCAGTGTGCCAGCAGTATGCTCCTGTCCCCGGACGGCCGGCAAGTTTCTACACTCCAATGACGGTTGCATTACCTTTTGCCAGGTGGGGCGTAGACCTGCTGGGCCCTCTCCCGACGACGACCGGCGGAAGGAAGTTTGTCATCGTGGCGATTGACTACTTCACGAAGTGGGTAGAAGCCGAGCCGCTTGCCTCCATCACTGAGTATCAATGTCAGAGGTTCCTCTGGCAGAATGTCATATGCCGCTTCGGGATTCCAGAGCAGGTCGTCACCGACAACGGCCGGCAGTTCGTCGGCAGAGGATTTGAGGCATACTTTGCGAAGTGGGGCATCAGGCACTCTAAGGCCTCGGTGGCCTACCCGCAGGCCAACGGCCAGGTGGAGAACATGAACCGGACCATCATGGATGGGATCAAAAAGAAACTAGAAGATTACGTGTCCACCTGGCCGGAGCAGCTTAATTACGTACTCTGGACGTACAGGACGACCCCAAGGACGGCAACCGGCGAAAAACCTTTTGCCTTAGCGTACGGATTCCAGGCCAAGGTGCCAACGGAGGTGCTAGTGCCCACACATCGCACAAAACGTTTCCAGCCGGAGGATAACGAGGCCAACCTACGAGCGGAGCTCCATTTCATCGAGGAACGAAGGGACCTAGCAGCTCGTCGCATGGAGGAATATCACCGGGCCACCCAAAGATACTTCAACAAGGCGGTGAAGATCCGCGAAATTGAAGCTGGGGACCTCGTACTCAGAAAGAGGGAGAAGAGCAAGCCGCTCGAAGGTGGCAAGATGGCCAAGAATTGGGAAGGGCCGTACAGGGTCATGAGAAGATACAACCAGGGGACGTTCCTCCTCCACACCCTGGAGGGGAACCACGCTGGAATCTGGAACGTCGAACACTTGAAGAAATTCTACCAGTAGTTAGAGATAGATTGTTTTTGTCATATTTGGTCGAAGCACCATGAAACACTACCAATCGTCCTCTCTATATTAAAAGGATTACTTCCTGTCTTTCGCTTCCTACAGAGAGATTAAATCCGAAGTGCTATTGAAACGATTTCCTCCTCAAAAAAAAAAAAGAGAGGAGAAGGGGAGATACGATTCCTATGAGAGAGGGAGTCTTGACGAGGTATGCCAGATCTTCCTTCGCCGCGTATGACGAACGTCTCCTGACACGGAGACCAGTAGGAACGTGAGGGGGGCTAGACGAACCAAAGGGAACCTCGGCAGGATAAACCAGTTCCTCCCATTTCCCGTGGATCGACGAACACCTTCTGCAAGAGCAGAAGGTTAGTAGGGCCACGAGCATGGGACGACGAAGCAGGGAGCCCGCGATAGGGTAAACCAGTGACCTCCTTGCGATCGGTGAATACCGAACGTCTTCTTCGAAGTAAGAAGGTTAGTAGGGTCCCGACAAGGACGAACGAAGAAATGGGAACCCTGACAGGGTATACTGGTTCCTCCCCCTTGATGAACGGATGACGAACGTCTTCTGCGAATCCAGGAGACTAGTAACTCACGATTGGGGACGAACAAAGATGGGGAATCCCGACGTGGATATACCTGTTTCTTCTCAGAGTGGGGATGGCGAACGTCTCCTGCGAAACCAGGAGACCAGTAATCACGAAACATGGGAAGAACAAAGATTGACAAAAGACTCCAAAAAAAAAAGGAAGCAAGGTATGCTAGACGAACATGGAGCAAACAATAATTTTTATTCTTCGGCACTGATGACCGGAAAGTTACAATGTGTAAGGTACAATGTAAATAATGAAAAAATTGGTACAAGTACAAAACAATGAACGGAGAATCAATGCTGATCGACGTCCGGAGTGGGAGCCTTGAAAAGAGTCTGTTTGGCCTTGTCTCTAGCTTCGGCTTCCTCCTGCTCCCTACGCTCCTTCAGCAGCTCAAGGGCCCCTGCATGAGCGTCCGCCATCAGAAAGTCAAAACCGGCGGCCTCCGGATCGAAGGGTGCCCCGAAGTGACGCTCGAGCGTCGGGAGATTCTCTGCTACTAGCCCAACCATGCCCTTGCGGTAGGTATCGTCGGCGAGATCATCAAGGAAACGCCGTCCGGTGGGGGTGGCTTGGAGCAGCTTAACCCCATCCAGATAGGGGTCAGGGCAGGTGGCCAAAAACTCACCGACGAGCCTCGGGAGGAACCTCATGGCCATGGTATGGATGGCGCCAGTATAAGCTTTGGACTTCTGAAACTCAATAGAGCCAGACTCCTTGATCTTGGCAACATCGGCCTCATAAATGGGGACATGATTGTCCACGCCCGTACGGCGGAGTTCCACCTTGGCCTGCTCTACGGCCCACATCCGGCTGCGGGGGTCCACAAGCTCAGCCTCCTGTTTCTTGAGGAGCTCCTTCTGGGAAGCATTCTCCTGGACGAGCTTGTCATAGGCATCGGCCTTCTCTTGGAGAGTTCCAGCCCTGCCTTTGGCATTCCTTAGAAGGGCATCACATTCAACCCGTACTCTGGCCATCTCCCTACCCTGATGCTCGAAAGCCATCCGAGCCCTGTGGAAGTAGAGCCCGGCCTTATCCAGAGTGCTCTGGCCGCACTCCAAGAGTTCTTCAGGGGCCTCCTGAGCGGCGAAGTCCTGGGGAACCTTGAGATTCAGGCCACACCAGATGGAGGACGCTGTCTGGCCAAAAAGCATCATCGACTCCTTGCGGGGACCAACCCCGGAAAACTCAATCAGGCCAAGGGAGGACCCACTGGTTTCTGGGAGCGAAGTAGGACGAGCGTCGTCAGAACCCTTGGCAGTCTGGACATCCTCATCACGGAGGCGACGAACGTCAGAATTCCGCGGGGGAGAAATATGGGGCTTGTTCCGGGAGGTGGGTTTCCGCTTGATGGGACTCCCGGGCTCACCATCAGAGTCATCGGCCACTATGATGGCCTTGGATGCAGTACCCTCGACACGAGGCCTCTTGGAAGCACCGGCCCCAGAAGTGTCATTAGCCCGTGCTCTGGTCATCCGGGTTTCGACCTTGGGGACGAGCGGCTTCTCCAGCTTGCCATGGTCTTTGGGCTCACGGCCGGCGGCAGTCGAGGCATTGTTGGTGCGGCCCATGGTGGACGTAGATGGGAAAACTCCTGCACAAAAGGAACCAAGACGTTCAGAGCCATAGCAACGGAGAGAGGTTAAAACAATACAAGTACAAACAGACGCACCTAACCCAGCCCGAGCTTTAAAAGGCTCGGCCACCAGCAACCGGAGGTTCTGGATGCCGAGTCCAGCTATGCGCTTGGCATACCCGAGCTCCTCGTCCGTCATAGGCGGCGGAATCGTCTTCACCGGGTAGGCATTCCACCGGTCAGAGAATGTAACACCCCCATTTTTCCCACCAAAATAAAATAACATTTTGAAATGAAAACATCTTTATTATAAAACATATTTAGAGTACAGCGGAAGTCTTTAATGGAAAAACAGGTGTGTCACCGCCACACTCAACCTATACATGATTGAGTGCACAGGCTATCCACCATAAAGTCAAGTAGCCATCGGATAAAACTTAAAACAAGTTTATGGATTACAATTTTAAACAACAATAATTAATCAAACGTGTGCAACTAGCGGAACACTCGGGCACCAAGTACATCAATCTTCATAATCATAATCATCTGTACAATAGAGCAAAGAGAAAAAGAGAAAAGAGACAAAAATTAGCTTTAGAGCTAAGTAAGATTCCACCCGAACCCGTAAAATAATATAATTTGGAAAATAGGTTTTTGTATATATATATATATATCGAAAAGTAGTCTCTCATATTTCCAAAATGGTTTAATGTCATAAAATAGTTTCCACAATAGATAAGATCATCTTTCAATTCCTCCAAAAGTAATACTTTAGATTCTTTTAAGAGTGGGCGAAACTCAAGATTCCTCGAGCCCAATGAGTCGTTGTTATCTACGACTCATCCCGGAATTCCGGCTCCCACCGACCACCAATTGGAAGCTGAATTTCTACCTTAAGTGTGCACACCCTCTAAAAGGGATTCCAAGCCCTCCGAGTAGTAAGAAACCCAAGTAGGCAGGATGTTTTCTACCACCTACTCACAAGGGACATTGTCCAAGGGTAAATTAGGTAACTACTACTACGACCACCAAAGGATCTTTGATCCTCAAATAAAAGCCCGGGATGTCTACCGGAGTATGTCATTGCCGGACTGGTTACCGACCCAAATAAATTTCACCAAAAGTAGTAGTAGCCCTAACCACCCACGCCTCGTGTTTCTCTCGAGACGTAAGAATATATATTATGAAAATTTTAAGTTTTCCCCAAATCATTCTTGTCACATTTTCTCAAAATATCCTTTGTAATATATATAAATCCACCAATATTCTTTAATAAAAAGAATATACATTTAATCATCCATAAAAGGTAATAATCCACCAATATTCATATAGTCAAAATATTCGATCCATGTCAAACATATAATTTCCAATTCATAAATAATTCACATAGTGCAAATATTGCATACATATAAGTACGAGGCAAAACATTTTGGTTGACATAGAACTTACCTTAAATTGCGATAATCTCCTTAATAAAATCTCTAGCTTGATCTTCACTTGAATTCTCCTTCTAATATTGATCAAAATTCTAAATCAATAACTATTCTATTATTTCGTTATTTCTTTTATATCCAACCTTTAATTACTTTAACTTCATAATTCCTTCTTTAAATATAAATATTAAATTAATAAATCTTACTAACTGTTTATTTCCAGTTCATTCTTATTATTTTCTTTAATTATAATAACCCAACTCAGTTTTTCTTAATTTGTTTGGTTAAATAGTTAACTAGTCCAATTATATTACTACATAATAATTTCATTATTTCGAATTTAGATAATCAATTTCAGTTCAAAATTCAGTTTACATAATTTATATAATTTATTTAATAACCCTTTTAATAATAACTTGACTTAGGCAATAATTCGAAATAATAATCATTAATGATAATCTAATCTCAATAACAACTTTAATTAGTTCAATCGTTTATTTATACTAACTAACCCAATTAAATTAATTTATCCAATCCTCCAGTTTTATTTATTTGACTCACTAATTTAATTGAACTAACTAAATCAAATAAATAAGTTTAATTATATCAATATAGCTAAATACGTTAATCTAATTCAATTAAGTCCAATAATCAAATTCTAATCTCGTTTTAATTTTCTATTTCTAATATAAAGTCCAGAGATGTTATCAAGTCTATAAATTAACTAATTTATCCATTAAACTAATTGATCTAGTTAAACTAGTCCAATGAAGTCAATTAACTAACTTATTAAGTACACATTACTTAATTAATTTGTTTATATTCATCAACTAATTTTTATGAGTTCAAATAGTTTAATAATTTATATGGAGTCCAAATCACTAATAATCAAGGATAATAATTATTAATTTAATCACGCTAATTTAATTAGTCAACTAATTCAATAATTTATTTATTAAGTCCAAATATAGTCATTCATTTATACTAGATAACCCAACTTTATTTTCTTTTCCTTATTTTATTACAAACATCATTTTTAGTCCAGAACATTATTTTCAATCTTAGTGATTTATTTATTTCACCATTAATATCAAAATTTCCTTATTTAATTACTTAACTAGTTTATATGGCTCAATTAAATTAAATAACTTAATCATCACTTTTATAAATTACTAATCATCCATAACTATAGTTTGGGTCTATACTAGACCTAGGTTGTCCAGATATTTATTTTAGAATTATTTCCTTTATTTATTCACTTAATTTCATATATCTATTAACCGGTTTAATTACAATTAAATATGCTAATTATAATTTTTATTAATTATAAATGGTCCCAAATGTCCTATTTAGTCATATATTTAATCTAGCTTGCACCCATATTTATTTCATAATTATTTTCGTCATTTAGTTAATTATTTACTAAATGTGTACAACTTGGCCCAATTACAATTAAATCAATTAAAAATACCTACAAATATTATTTTTCAATTATTCTTGGTCCGAATATGTATTTTTATACCAGGTATTTAATTTATATTTTTCCAGATTTTATTTATTTCATTTACTATTTTATTTTTAATTTTTTATTAAAAATGGGCCGAACCGGCCCAAATTCGCGACCCGGCCCAAGAAGACTGGGTTGTCTCCTTCCCAGCTTCTCCAGGTCGCGATTCCGGCGACCGGAATCCCGAAAACTTCGGCGAGCGATAACTTTACTTACAGGTAACGGATTTAAACGATTCAAGTTGCAAAATGATCCTGACGTCGAGGAGAAGCTCCGCCACCCCTATCTACGGCCAAATTTCCGCACTTGCTGAAGACCCATTTCCTTGGCTTGCAACTCCGGCGACCTCTAGGATGCTCCGGTGACTACGAATTGGTCTGGAATTTATTGGGAAATATTCCTAGACCTCTCACGACCCTCCTCTCTTGTTTATAGGCAATTTCTTACGTAAATTTATATATGTGTATTTTTCCGGCGAGTAAGTATATATATATATTCTCTACTCGTTTTCTTCACTTTGTGGTGATTTAGAATGGGAAGGAAGCTGTATTTATAGCTGTAGATCGATCATTCTAGGCTGAATCATACATGGAGTGATTGGTTTGAATTATTTCTTCATTATTATTCAATATTATTATACATAGTATTATGAACATGCATGTGTAAATGTTGGTTGTTCTAATGCATTCTAAGTCTAGTCGGCAAGTTCATTGCATATATTATTACCTCTATTTGTATTATTGTGAACACCTATGTGTATGATTGTCATCCACAAGTTACATTTTATGTGTATATGTATATTATTACATGTTACAAAATGTCACTTATAATACTTTGATATTTATTTTTATTTACCTTGTCAGATATATTTTATCTGATTTATTTTTATTTTTATTTATTTTATTTTATTTTTTTCCGATGCCACATAAGTGTTTAATTTTCATTGCATGTAGTGTGCGTATATTTTTATACACCAAGTATAAAAAAAATATTTTGATCTTACTTTCATTTGATTTATCAGATATAACTTATCTGATTTATTTATTTATTTTTATTTCAAATTTTCAAGGTATCACATTCTACCCTCCTTAAAGAATGCTTCGTCCTCGAAGCATAAACTAAGACGCGAATTAAGTATGAAGATGAATTATTATAGGTTTATAAGATATGACAACCTGCCCCCCTAAAAGAAAGGTTACGTCCTCGTAACCGAATATTTACCTTAATTGAAAAGTTCAGGATACCGTTTACGCATATCCTCTTCTGTCTCCCATGTTGCATTCTCGGTCAAATGGTTTGACCAAAGTACTTTTACCATCTTAACTGTCTTCTTCCTTGTCTCTCGGGTCTTAGTATCGAGAATCTCTATGGGTTTTTCTTCGTAGGATAATGTCTCATCCATTTCAATCACCTAATAATATAACGGTTAACTTATATTCTTTTCAATTTACGTTTGGCTCATGTTAAGTCTAGGATTTCTTACCTCCGGATTGATGATATGTGACTCATCTCGAACATACTTCTTTAATTGTGATACGTGAAAGACGTTATGTACCTAGCATATATCGGTATGTTAAGAATGTATTTTAATCGTAGAGAAGTATTTGATTTCAAATCGGTTGTTACCTTATCCAACTCCGTGGGTAGAGCTAATCGATATGCCACTTTTCCCACCTTCTCTAGGATGTCATAGGGTCCGATGAATCTCGGACTTAGTTTCCCTTTCTTCCCGAACCTCATTACGCCTCTTGTAGGAGAGACTTTGAGTAGAACTTTCTCCCCTAGTTCGAATTCAGCTGGTTTTCTCCCAAGATCGGCATATGATTTCTGTCGGTCTTGGGCAGCCTTCATCCTTTCTTGGATGACCTTGATTTTCTCAATAGTATCTTGCAAGTATTGTGGTCCTAGAACCACCTGATCGACCATGTCACCCCAACATAAGGGACTCCTACACTTTTGACCATATAGAGCTTCGTATGGGGCCATTCCGATGCTAGCATGGTAACTGTTATTGTACGAAAACTCTACCAAGTCTAGGTGTTCATCCCATGATCCTTGCAAATCAAGAACACATGCCCTCAACATGTCTTCTAATGTTTGGATTGTTCTTTCGGTCTGTCCGTCCGTGGTTGGATGGAAAGCAGTACTTAACTTCAATTTTGTTCCCATAGCCGTTTGTAATTCTTTCCAAAATTGGGATAAGAATCGTGAATCTCGGTCTGATACGATGTCTTGAGGTACTCCGTGGTGTTTGACCACGTGTTTGACATAGGCTTTTGCCAGTTTCTCCATGCTCCAGGTTTCATTCATAGGAATGAACCTTGCAGTTTTGGTCAATCTATCCACTACCACCCAAATTTTATCTTTCCCGGACTTTGTTAAAGGTAAACCCCCGACAAAGTCCATTGAGATTGAATCCCATTTCCATGTTGGTACTTCCAAGGGTTGCACGAGTCCCTTGGGTTTGCATCTTTCCGCTTTGACTTTTTGGCAGTTCAAACATCGGGATACAAATTCAGCTACTTCTTTCTTCATTCCCGGCCACCAAAAGTTCTTCTTGAGGTCTTTGTATAGTTTGTCTCCCCCGGGATGTACCGAGTAGGGCGTGTTGTGTCCCTCCTCCATGATTTGTTTTTTAATATCTGCACACTTCAGTGGAACACACCATCTTCCCTTGTATCGGATGCTCCCATCTTCATGCATCTTAAATGGTCCGTTGACGCCATCTTTCATTCCTTCCTTGACTCTTTCGAGCTTTACATCTCCCGGTTGTCCGTTCTTGATTTCGTCAAAGATAGATGGTATAACAGTCATAGTACATAACTGTATTTCACCATCTACTTCGCCATATTGCTTTACTTCCAAGCTCAATCTTTGAAAGTCTCGGAATAGTTCTTCTGGTAATATCCATGTTGCTCGGCATGAGTGCTCAGATTTCCGGCTCAAAGCATCCGCCACCACGTTAGCTTTTCCCTCGTGGTATTGGATTTCTAGATCGTAATCATTGATAAGCTCGAGCCATCTTCTTTGCCTCATGTTAAGCTCTTTTTGAGTGAATATGTACTTCAAGCTTTTGTGGTCAGTGTATATCTTACAATGTGCTCCGTATAGGTAATGTCTCCAGATTTTCAAAGCAAACACTACTGCAGCTAACTCCAGGTCATGGGTAGGATAATTGACTTCATGCACCTTTAGTTGTCTTGATGCATAAGCCACCACTTTCCTATTTTGCATTAGCACACACCCCAACCCCCTTTTGGATGCATCACTATAAATATCAAATCCCTCCGTCCCTGACGGTAGTGTCAAGACCGGTGCAGTTGTGAGTCTTTTCTTCAACTCTTGGAATGCTGCTTCACAATCTTCATTCCATTGGAACTTTGTTGTCTTCTTTGTCAGATTGGTTAGCGGTCTTGCTATCTTGGAGAAATCTTTAACAAATCTCCTATAGTATCCCGCTAGACCCAAGAAACTTCTTACCTCTGTGACCGAGGTAGGTGCACGCCATTCAACCACCGCTTCAATCTTCGATGGATCTACGGATACGCCTTCCTGGGTGATGATGTGACCCAAGAACGCTACCCGATCCTGCCAGAAGTCACACTTTGAGAGTTTGGCATACAACTGGTTCTCTCTCAAAGTTTGTAACGTGAGTCTCAAGTGTTTCTCGTGATCCTCCGGGGTTTTTGAATACACAAGAATATCATCGATGAATACCACCACAAATGTATCAAGATAAGGTCGGAATACACGGTTCATTAAGTCCATGAATACCGCCGGTGCATTTGTTAAACCAAACGGCATCACAGTGAACTCGTAGTGTCCATACCTCGTGCGGAATGCTGTTTTTGGTACATCTTTTTCGGATATTCTCACTTGATGATATCCAGAGCGCAAGTCTATCTTAGAGAACGTGCTAGCCCCCTTCAATTGATCAAACAAGTCGTCAATTCGGGGCAATGGATACTTGTTCTTGATAGTTGCTTGATTCAACTCTCGGTAATCGATGCATAGCCTTAGACTCCCATCTTTCTTTTTGACAAATAAGACCGGAGCGCCCCAAGGTGAGACACTCGGTCTTATGTACCCCTTCTCTAACAACTCCTCTAGTTGTTCCTTCAGCTCCTGCATTTCTTTCGGTGCCATTCGGTAAGGTGCTTTTGAAATTGGCGCGGTTCCGGGCATCAACTCAATTGAGAATTCAACTTCTCTCACGGGCGGCATACCTGGAATCTCTTCCGGAAATACGTCCGGAAATTCATTGACTACGACAATTTGGTCAATGTTTGGTTCCCCTGTATTCACCTCTTTCATAAAGCACAGGTAGGTTTCATACCCCTTTCGGATATGTCGCTTTAATTGTTGCATAGTCATCAACTTCATGCTATGCTTGGATGTGACTGCTTTGTAAGATATTCGCTTCCCATTTGGACCCTTCAAGATTACCTTCTGTTCATCACAGAGGATCCTGGCTTTGTATTTCCCCAACCAATCCATGCCCAGTACTATGTCTATATCTTTTAAGTCAAATTGGATTAAATCTCCATGTAGGTTGGATTCAGATATGAGTATGGAAATGTTGGAGTATACATTTCCACAAGTTACAAATTTATCTGAGGCGGTTCTTACATTCAAGTCTATTCTAGCCGTTGGTTCAATCTTCAATTTCTTAACGAAACTAGAAGATATGAAACTGTGAGAAGCACCAGAATCAAATAGAACATAAGCATTAAGCAGGCTCAGAATTTACAAGGAATGTACCTGAAACCACATCATTAGCATTGGCTTGGGCCTGATTCATCACCATGATTCGCCCTTGGTTCGGACGGTTGCCGTTGTTTCCGCCATTGCCATTGTTCCCGCCATTGCCATTGCCACGATTATTCTCCCCTCCTTCTCGAGGGTTGCGGTTGTTGTTGGCGGCGGCGGCATTGTTGTTGTTATTTTGTCCTCCATTTGGCCCAGCTTGATTCATATCTGGTCTTCCTCCATCACGGTATTGCACCTGGTTCACTGGTGCCCCATTGGTCTTTGAGAGACACTCGAAGGTTCTGTGCCCTAGCTTCCCACAATTGAAACATTTTGTCAGGCTTCCATCGCAGTTAACACCGGGATGATCTCTCCCGCACCTCTTGCAGTAGAAGTGTCTATCTCTGGGAGCAACTCTTCGATCATTTTGTTGGTTTTGACCGTGGAAATTTCTTCCACCTTGGTCATCTCTCCTCCTCCTCCCTTCTTGTTGCTGTGTAGGTGGGTGCACTCTGACCCTCTTTTCTCCTCGACCTCCATCTTCGTCCCTCTTCATCTTCTGGTTCCTCTCTCTTTGTAGTTGCTGAACTCGATAGTGAACTGCAGCTCTATCATAAGCTTCAGTCAGAGTTTGGCAACCCAAAACAGCGACGATTTTCTGTGTATCATAGTTTAATCCGTAGATAAATTTCTCAACTTTGGTGCTTTCATCAGGCACTATTGTTTTCGCAAATGGCGCGAGGTCCACGAATTTATTGTGATATTCCTGGACACTCATGCCCATCTGTTTCAAATGTATGAATTCATCACGCATGGTGGCCTGAACGTGTGCAGGATAAAAACGTTTCCTCATGGCAATCTTGAAAGCTTCCCAATTGAAGTCAGGTTGTTGACGTAAAGTTGGGCCTGATGAGACCCACCAGTTATCCGCTTCTTGCTGTAAATAGTAAACAGCAATGTCAACCCTTTGCTCTTCCGGACAGCTCACCGCGTCGAAGAGTTTGTCAAAGAGTCGGAGCCAATTTTCGAGGATACGAGGATCTTCTTGCCCATGAAAGCTTGGAGGGTTGCGAGATGCCACTCGTTTTGCGGCATCATTCCCGTTGTTCTGGTTTTGATTGTTCTGGAGCACAGTAGCACCCAGTGTGTGCATGAATTGTGCCAGTTGTTGAACGCTTTGTGCCAACTCAGCATTGGTGGGCGTGTTATCAGGGTCTCTTCTCGGTGCCATGATATCTTAATGACATAAAGTATTCGTGTAAGATTTTCTATATTTTTCTCCTAAGGATCCTAGTTCAACTAAGGATTCCATAGGCTATGCAACATGATCATATGAAAATGTACATAACAATCATACAGAGGATTCATACTTCACATAAAAGCACTTTCACACATAATGTTTGTACATACCTTAGCCACTTCGGAATTTTGCCCTATGAGGCATTCCCATTTTATCATTTGGGGTTCCCATTTCTCAAATGGGCCCACAATTAGCATAATTATCACATACATGATACATGTAAGGAAAATAAATACTCACAAGGTCCTCACCACGTTCCTAAAAGGCCATTTCCTAGCTATATTATCTTTCCTAATTTTAAAAATATTTGAAAATCTCCCTTTTGAAGGTACAATTTCAAAGGTTTCCTTCAACGATTTCGAACGACGAAGTTTCAGCACAAGGAGAAATTCCCAGGTAGTTGGACGAGCGCAAAGGCTCAATTAAGAACCAACAGCCTTAGACTCTTATCGTCTTGGTGACAGAATTTCTCCATACAACCTATTACCTCGTGTTCTAATCCCTTTGGAAAACCTAAGGCTCTGATACCAACTTGTAACACCCCCATTTTTCCCACCAAAATAAAATAACATTTTGAAATGAAAACATCTTTATTATAAAACATATTTAGAGTACAGCGGAAGTCTTTAATGGAAAAACAGGTGTGTCACCGCCACACTCAACCTATACATGATTGAGTGCACAGGCTATCCACCATAAAGTCAAGTAGCCATCGGATAAAACTTAAAACAAGTTTATGGATTACAATTTTAAACAACAATAATTAATCAAACGTGTGCAACTAGCGGAACACTCGGGCACCAAGTACATCAATCTTCATAATCATAATCATCTGTACAATAGAGCAAAGAGAAAAAGAGAAAAGAGACAAAAATTAGCTTTAGAGCTAAGTAAGATTCCACCCGAACCCGTAAAATAATATAATTTGGAAAATAGGTTTTTGTATATATATATATATATCGAAAAGTAGTCTCTCATATTTCCAAAATGGTTTAATGTCATAAAATAGTTTCCACAATAGATAAGATCATCTTTCAATTCCTCCAAAAGTAATACTTTAGATTCTTTTAAGAGTGGGCGAAACTCAAGATTCCTCGAGCCCAATGAGTCGTTGTTATCTACGACTCATCCCGGAATTCCGGCTCCCACCGACCACCAATTGGAAGCTGAATTTCTACCTTAAGTGTGCACACCCTCTAAAAGGGATTCCAAGCCCTCCGAGTAGTAAGAAACCCAAGTAGGCAGGATGTTTTCTACCACCTACTCACAAGGGACATTGTCCAAGGGTAAATTAGGTAACTACTACTACGACCACCAAAGGATCTTTGATCCTCAAATAAAAGCCCGGGATGTCTACCGGAGTATGTCATTGCCGGACTGGTTACCGACCCAAATAAATTTCACCAAAAGTAGTAGTAGCCCTAACCACCCACGCCTCGTGTTTCTCTCGAGACGTAAGAATATATATTATGAAAATTTTAAGTTTTCCCCAAATCATTCTTGTCACATTTTCTCAAAATATCCTTTGTAATATATATAAATCCACCAATATTCTTTAATAAAAAGAATATACATTTAATCATCCATAAAAGGTAATAATCCACCAATATTCATATAGTCAAAATATTCGATCCATGTCAAACATATAATTTCCAATTCATAAATAATTCACATAGTGCAAATATTGCATACATATAAGTACGAGGCAAAACATTTTGGTTGACATAGAACTTACCTTAAATTGCGATAATCTCCTTAATAAAATCTCTAGCTTGATCTTCACTTGAATTCTCCTTCTAATATTGATCAAAATTCTAAATCAATAACTATTCTATTATTTCGTTATTTCTTTTATATCCAACCTTTAATTACTTTAACTTCATAATTCCTTCTTTAAATATAAATATTAAATTAATAAATCTTACTAACTGTTTATTTCCAGTTCATTCTTATTATTTTCTTTAATTATAATAACCCAACTCAGTTTTTCTTAATTTGTTTGGTTAAATAGTTAACTAGTCCAATTATATTACTACATAATAATTTCATTATTTCGAATTTAGATAATCAATTTCAGTTCAAAATTCAGTTTACATAATTTATATAATTTATTTAATAACCCTTTTAATAATAACTTGACTTAGGCAATAATTCGAAATAATAATCATTAATGATAATCTAATCTCAATAACAACTTTAATTAGTTCAATCGTTTATTTATACTAACTAACCCAATTAAATTAATTTATCCAATCCTCCAGTTTTATTTATTTGACTCACTAATTTAATTGAACTAACTAAATCAAATAAATAAGTTTAATTATATCAATATAGCTAAATACGTTAATCTAATTCAATTAAGTCCAATAATCAAATTCTAATCTCGTTTTAATTTTCTATTTCTAATATAAAGTCCAGAGATGTTATCAAGTCTATAAATTAACTAATTTATCCATTAAACTAATTGATCTAGTTAAACTAGTCCAATGAAGTCAATTAACTAACTTATTAAGTACACATTACTTAATTAATTTGTTTATATTCATCAACTAATTTTTATGAGTTCAAATAGTTTAATAATTTATATGGAGTCCAAATCACTAATAATCAAGGATAATAATTATTAATTTAATCACGCTAATTTAATTAGTCAACTAATTCAATAATTTATTTATTAAGTCCAAATATAGTCATTCATTTATACTAGATAACCCAACTTTATTTTCTTTTCCTTATTTTATTACAAACATCATTTTTAGTCCAGAACATTATTTTCAATCTTAGTGATTTATTTATTTCACCATTAATATCAAAATTTCCTTATTTAATTACTTAACTAGTTTATATGGCTCAATTAAATTAAATAACTTAATCATCACTTTTATAAATTACTAATCATCCATAACTATAGTTTGGGTCTATACTAGACCTAGGTTGTCCAGATATTTATTTTAGAATTATTTCCTTTATTTATTCACTTAATTTCATATATCTATTAACCGGTTTAATTACAATTAAATATGCTAATTATAATTTTTATTAATTATAAATGGTCCCAAATGTCCTATTTAGTCATATATTTAATCTAGCTTGCACCCATATTTATTTCATAATTATTTTCGTCATTTAGTTAATTATTTACTAAATGTGTACAACTTGGCCCAATTACAATTAAATCAATTAAAAATACCTACAAATATTATTTTTCAATTATTCTTGGTCCGAATATGTATTTTTATACCAGGTATTTAATTTATATTTTTCCAGATTTTATTTATTTCATTTACTATTTTATTTTTAATTTTTTATTAAAAATGGGCCGAACCGGCCCAAATTCGCGACCCGGCCCAAGAAGACTGGGTTGTCTCCTTCCCAGCTTCTCCAGGTCGCGATTCCGGCGACCGGAATCCCGAAAACTTCGGCGAGCGATAACTTTACTTACAGGTAACGGATTTAAACGATTCAAGTTGCAAAATGATCCTGACGTCGAGGAGAAGCTCCGCCACCCCTATCTACGGCCAAATTTCCGCACTTGCTGAAGACCCATTTCCTTGGCTTGCAACTCCGGCGACCTCTAGGATGCTCCGGTGACTACGAATTGGTCTGGAATTTATTGGGAAATATTCCTAGACCTCTCACGACCCTCCTCTCTTGTTTATAGGCAATTTCTTACGTAAATTTATATATGTGTATTTTTCCGGCGAGTAAGTATATATATATATTCTCTACTCGTTTTCTTCACTTTGTGGTGATTTAGAATGGGAAGGAAGCTGTATTTATAGCTGTAGATCGATCATTCTAGGCTGAATCATACATGGAGTGATTGGTTTGAATTATTTCTTCATTATTATTCAATATTATTATACATAGTATTATGAACATGCATGTGTAAATGTTGGTTGTTCTAATGCATTCTAAGTCTAGTCGGCAAGTTCATTGCATATATTATTACCTCTATTTGTATTATTGTGAACACCTATGTGTATGATTGTCATCCACAAGTTACATTTTATGTGTATATGTATATTATTACATGTTACAAAATGTCACTTATAATACTTTGATATTTATTTTTATTTACCTTGTCAGATATATTTTATCTGATTTATTTTTATTTTTATTTATTTTATTTTATTTTTTTCCGATGCCACATAAGTGTTTAATTTTCATTGCATGTAGTGTGCGTATATTTTTATACACCAAGTATAAAAAAAATATTTTGATCTTACTTTCATTTGATTTATCAGATATAACTTATCTGATTTATTTATTTATTTTTATTTCAAATTTTCAAGGTATCACATTCTACCCTCCTTAAAGAATGCTTCGTCCTCGAAGCATAAACTAAGACGCGAATTAAGTATGAAGATGAATTATTATAGGTTTATAAGATATGACAACCTGCCCCCCTAAAAGAAAGGTTACGTCCTCGTAACCGAATATTTACCTTAATTGAAAAGTTCAGGATACCGTTTACGCATATCCTCTTCTGTCTCCCATGTTGCATTCTCGGTCAAATGGTTTGACCAAAGTACTTTTACCATCTTAACTGTCTTCTTCCTTGTCTCTCGGGTCTTAGTATCGAGAATCTCTATGGGTTTTTCTTCGTAGGATAATGTCTCATCCATTTCAATCACCTAATAATATAACGGTTAACTTATATTCTTTTCAATTTACGTTTGGCTCATGTTAAGTCTAGGATTTCTTACCTCCGGATTGATGATATGTGACTCATCTCGAACATACTTCTTTAATTGTGATACGTGAAAGACGTTATGTACCTAGCATATATCGGTATGTTAAGAATGTATTTTAATCGTAGAGAAGTATTTGATTTCAAATCGGTTGTTACCTTATCCAACTCCGTGGGTAGAGCTAATCGATATGCCACTTTTCCCACCTTCTCTAGGATGTCATAGGGTCCGATGAATCTCGGACTTAGTTTCCCTTTCTTCCCGAACCTCATTACGCCTCTTGTAGGAGAGACTTTGAGTAGAACTTTCTCCCCTAGTTCGAATTCAGCTGGTTTTCTCCCAAGATCGGCATATGATTTCTGTCGGTCTTGGGCAGCCTTCATCCTTTCTTGGATGACCTTGATTTTCTCAATAGTATCTTGCAAGTATTGTGGTCCTAGAACCACCTGATCGACCATGTCACCCCAACATAAGGGACTCCTACACTTTTGACCATATAGAGCTTCGTATGGGGCCATTCCGATGCTAGCATGGTAACTGTTATTGTACGAAAACTCTACCAAGTCTAGGTGTTCATCCCATGATCCTTGCAAATCAAGAACACATGCCCTCAACATGTCTTCTAATGTTTGGATTGTTCTTTCGGTCTGTCCGTCCGTGGTTGGATGGAAAGCAGTACTTAACTTCAATTTTGTTCCCATAGCCGTTTGTAATTCTTTCCAAAATTGGGATAAGAATCGTGAATCTCGGTCTGATACGATGTCTTGAGGTACTCCGTGGTGTTTGACCACGTGTTTGACATAGGCTTTTGCCAGTTTCTCCATGCTCCAGGTTTCATTCATAGGAATGAACCTTGCAGTTTTGGTCAATCTATCCACTACCACCCAAATTTTATCTTTCCCGGACTTTGTTAAAGGTAAACCCCCGACAAAGTCCATTGAGATTGAATCCCATTTCCATGTTGGTACTTCCAAGGGTTGCACGAGTCCCTTGGGTTTGCATCTTTCCGCTTTGACTTTTTGGCAGTTCAAACATCGGGATACAAATTCAGCTACTTCTTTCTTCATTCCCGGCCACCAAAAGTTCTTCTTGAGGTCTTTGTATAGTTTGTCTCCCCCGGGATGTACCGAGTAGGGCGTGTTGTGTCCCTCCTCCATGATTTGTTTTTTAATATCTGCACACTTCAGTGGAACACACCATCTTCCCTTGTATCGGATGCTCCCATCTTCATGCATCTTAAATGGTCCGTTGACGCCATCTTTCATTCCTTCCTTGACTCTTTCGAGCTTTACATCTCCCGGTTGTCCGTTCTTGATTTCGTCAAAGATAGATGGTATAACAGTCATAGTACATAACTGTATTTCACCATCTACTTCGCCATATTGCTTTACTTCCAAGCTCAATCTTTGAAAGTCTCGGAATAGTTCTTCTGGTAATATCCATGTTGCTCGGCATGAGTGCTCAGATTTCCGGCTCAAAGCATCCGCCACCACGTTAGCTTTTCCCTCGTGGTATTGGATTTCTAGATCGTAATCATTGATAAGCTCGAGCCATCTTCTTTGCCTCATGTTAAGCTCTTTTTGAGTGAATATGTACTTCAAGCTTTTGTGGTCAGTGTATATCTTACAATGTGCTCCGTATAGGTAATGTCTCCAGATTTTCAAAGCAAACACTACTGCAGCTAACTCCAGGTCATGGGTAGGATAATTGACTTCATGCACCTTTAGTTGTCTTGATGCATAAGCCACCACTTTCCTATTTTGCATTAGCACACACCCCAACCCCCTTTTGGATGCATCACTATAAATATCAAATCCCTCCGTCCCTGACGGTAGTGTCAAGACCGGTGCAGTTGTGAGTCTTTTCTTCAACTCTTGGAATGCTGCTTCACAATCTTCATTCCATTGGAACTTTGTTGTCTTCTTTGTCAGATTGGTTAGCGGTCTTGCTATCTTGGAGAAATCTTTAACAAATCTCCTATAGTATCCCGCTAGACCCAAGAAACTTCTTACCTCTGTGACCGAGGTAGGTGCACGCCATTCAACCACCGCTTCAATCTTCGATGGATCTACGGATACGCCTTCCTGGGTGATGATGTGACCCAAGAACGCTACCCGATCCTGCCAGAAGTCACACTTTGAGAGTTTGGCATACAACTGGTTCTCTCTCAAAGTTTGTAACGTGAGTCTCAAGTGTTTCTCGTGATCCTCCGGGGTTTTTGAATACACAAGAATATCATCGATGAATACCACCACAAATGTATCAAGATAAGGTCGGAATACACGGTTCATTAAGTCCATGAATACCGCCGGTGCATTTGTTAAACCAAACGGCATCACAGTGAACTCGTAGTGTCCATACCTCGTGCGGAATGCTGTTTTTGGTACATCTTTTTCGGATATTCTCACTTGATGATATCCAGAGCGCAAGTCTATCTTAGAGAACGTGCTAGCCCCCTTCAATTGATCAAACAAGTCGTCAATTCGGGGCAATGGATACTTGTTCTTGATAGTTGCTTGATTCAACTCTCGGTAATCGATGCATAGCCTTAGACTCCCATCTTTCTTTTTGACAAATAAGACCGGAGCGCCCCAAGGTGAGACACTCGGTCTTATGTACCCCTTCTCTAACAACTCCTCTAGTTGTTCCTTCAGCTCCTGCATTTCTTTCGGTGCCATTCGGTAAGGTGCTTTTGAAATTGGCGCGGTTCCGGGCATCAACTCAATTGAGAATTCAACTTCTCTCACGGGCGGCATACCTGGAATCTCTTCCGGAAATACGTCCGGAAATTCATTGACTACGACAATTTGGTCAATGTTTGGTTCCCCTGTATTCACCTCTTTCATAAAGCACAGGTAGGTTTCATACCCCTTTCGGATATGTCGCTTTAATTGTTGCATAGTCATCAACTTCATGCTATGCTTGGATGTGACTGCTTTGTAAGATATTCGCTTCCCATTTGGACCCTTCAAGATTACCTTCTGTTCATCACAGAGGATCCTGGCTTTGTATTTCCCCAACCAATCCATGCCCAGTACTATGTCTATATCTTTTAAGTCAAATTGGATTAAATCTCCATGTAGGTTGGATTCAGATATGAGTATGGAAATGTTGGAGTATACATTTCCACAAGTTACAAATTTATCTGAGGCGGTTCTTACATTCAAGTCTATTCTAGCCGTTGGTTCAATCTTCAATTTCTTAACGAAACTAGAAGATATGAAACTGTGAGAAGCACCAGAATCAAATAGAACATAAGCATTAAGCAGGCTCAGAATTTACAAGGAATGTACCTGAAACCACATCATTAGCATTGGCTTGGGCCTGATTCATCACCATGATTCGCCCTTGGTTCGGACGGTTGCCGTTGTTTCCGCCATTGCCATTGTTCCCGCCATTGCCATTGCCACGATTATTCTCCCCTCCTTCTCGAGGGTTGCGGTTGTTGTTGGCGGCGGCGGCATTGTTGTTGTTATTTTGTCCTCCATTTGGCCCAGCTTGATTCATATCTGGTCTTCCTCCATCACGGTATTGCACCTGGTTCACTGGTGCCCCATTGGTCTTTGAGAGACACTCGAAGGTTCTGTGCCCTAGCTTCCCACAATTGAAACATTTTGTCAGGCTTCCATCGCAGTTAACACCGGGATGATCTCTCCCGCACCTCTTGCAGTAGAAGTGTCTATCTCTGGGAGCAACTCTTCGATCATTTTGTTGGTTTTGACCGTGGAAATTTCTTCCACCTTGGTCATCTCTCCTCCTCCTCCCTTCTTGTTGCTGTGTAGGTGGGTGCACTCTGACCCTCTTTTCTCCTCGACCTCCATCTTCGTCCCTCTTCATCTTCTGGTTCCTCTCTCTTTGTAGTTGCTGAACTCGATAGTGAACTGCAGCTCTATCATAAGCTTCAGTCAGAGTTTGGCAACCCAAAACAGCGACGATTTTCTGTGTATCATAGTTTAATCCGTAGATAAATTTCTCAACTTTGGTGCTTTCATCAGGCACTATTGTTTTCGCAAATGGCGCGAGGTCCACGAATTTATTGTGATATTCCTGGACACTCATGCCCATCTGTTTCAAATGTATGAATTCATCACGCATGGTGGCCTGAACGTGTGCAGGATAAAAACGTTTCCTCATGGCAATCTTGAAAGCTTCCCAATTGAAGTCAGGTTGTTGACGTAAAGTTGGGCCTGATGAGACCCACCAGTTATCCGCTTCTTGCTGTAAATAGTAAACAGCAATGTCAACCCTTTGCTCTTCCGGACAGCTCACCGCGTCGAAGAGTTTGTCAAAGAGTCGGAGCCAATTTTCGAGGATACGAGGATCTTCTTGCCCATGAAAGCTTGGAGGGTTGCGAGATGCCACTCGTTTTGCGGCATCATTCCCGTTGTTCTGGTTTTGATTGTTCTGGAGCACAGTAGCACCCAGTGTGTGCATGAATTGTGCCAGTTGTTGAACGCTTTGTGCCAACTCAGCATTGGTGGGCGTGTTATCAGGGTCTCTTCTCGGTGCCATGATATCTTAATGACATAAAGTATTCGTGTAAGATTTTCTATATTTTTCTCCTAAGGATCCTAGTTCAACTAAGGATTCCATAGGCTATGCAACATGATCATATGAAAATGTACATAACAATCATACAGAGGATTCATACTTCACATAAAAGCACTTTCACACATAATGTTTGTACATACCTTAGCCACTTCGGAATTTTGCCCTATGAGGCATTCCCATTTTATCATTTGGGGTTCCCATTTCTCAAATGGGCCCACAATTAGCATAATTATCACATACATGATACATGTAAGGAAAATAAATACTCACAAGGTCCTCACCACGTTCCTAAAAGGCCATTTCCTAGCTATATTATCTTTCCTAATTTTAAAAATATTTGAAAATCTCCCTTTTGAAGGTACAATTTCAAAGGTTTCCTTCAACGATTTCGAACGACGAAGTTTCAGCACAAGGAGAAATTCCCAGGTAGTTGGACGAGCGCAAAGGCTCAATTAAGAACCAACAGCCTTAGACTCTTATCGTCTTGGTGACAGAATTTCTCCATACAACCTATTACCTCGTGTTCTAATCCCTTTGGAAAACCTAAGGCTCTGATACCAACTTGTAACACCCCCATTTTTCCCACCAAAATAAAATAACATTTTGAAATGAAAACATCTTTATTATAAAACATATTTAGAGTACAGCGGAAGTCTTTAATGGAAAAACAGGTGTGTCACCGCCACACTCAACCTATACATGATTGAGTGCACAGGCTATCCACCATAAAGTCAAGTAGCCATCGGATAAAACTTAAAACAAGTTTATGGATTACAATTTTAAACAACAATAATTAATCAAACGTGTGCAACTAGCGGAACACTCGGGCACCAAGTACATCAATCTTCATAATCATAATCATCTGTACAATAGAGCAAAGAGAAAAAGAGAAAAGAGACAAAAATTAGCTTTAGAGCTAAGTAAGATTCCACCCGAACCCGTAAAATAATATAATTTGGAAAATAGGTTTTTGTATATATATATATATATCGAAAAGTAGTCTCTCATATTTCCAAAATGGTTTAATGTCATAAAATAGTTTCCACAATAGATAAGATCATCTTTCAATTCCTCCAAAAGTAATACTTTAGATTCTTTTAAGAGTGGGCGAAACTCAAGATTCCTCGAGCCCAATGAGTCGTTGTTATCTACGACTCATCCCGGAATTCCGGCTCCCACCGACCACCAATTGGAAGCTGAATTTCTACCTTAAGTGTGCACACCCTCTAAAAGGGATTCCAAGCCCTCCGAGTAGTAAGAAACCCAAGTAGGCAGGATGTTTTCTACCACCTACTCACAAGGGACATTGTCCAAGGGTAAATTAGGTAACTACTACTACGACCACCAAAGGATCTTTGATCCTCAAATAAAAGCCCGGGATGTCTACCGGAGTATGTCATTGCCGGACTGGTTACCGACCCAAATAAATTTCACCAAAAGTAGTAGTAGCCCTAACCACCCACGCCTCGTGTTTCTCTCGAGACGTAAGAATATATATTATGAAAACTTTAAGTTTTCCCCAAATCATTCTTGTCACATTTTCTCAAAATATCCTTTGTAATATATATAAATCCACCAATATTCTTTAATAAAAAGAATATACATTTAATCATCCATAAAAGGTAATAATCCACCAATATTCATATAGTCAAAATATTCGATCCATGTCAAACATATAATTTCCAATTCATAAATAACTCACATAGTGCAAATATTGCATACATATAAGTACGAGGCAAAACATTTTGGTTGACATAGAACTTACCTTAAATTGCGATAATCTCCTTAATAAAATCTCTAGCTTGATCTTCACTTGAATTCTCCTTCTAATATTGATCAAAATTCTAAATCAATAACTATTCTATTATTTCGTTATTTCTTTTATATCCAACCTTTAATTACTTTAACTTCATAATTCCTTCTTTAAATATAAATATTAAATTAATAAATCTTACTAACTGTTTATTTCCAGTTCATTCTTATTATTTTCTTTAATTATAATAACCCAACTCAGTTTTTCTTAATTTGTTTGGTTAAATAGTTAACTAGTCCAATTATATTACTACATAATAATTTCATTATTTCGAATTTAGATAATCAATTTCAGTTCAAAATTCAGTTTACATAATTTATATAATTTATTTAATAACCCTTTTAATAATAACTTGACTTAGGCAATAATTCGAAATAATAATCATTAATGATAATCTAATCTCAATAACAACTTTAATTAGTTCAATCGTTTATTTATACTAACTAACCCAATTAAATTAATTTATCCAATCCTCCAGTTTTATTTATTTGACTCACTAATTTAATTGAACTAACTAAATCAAATAAATAAGTTTAATTATATCAATATAGCTAAATACGTTAATCTAATTCAATTAAGTCCAATAATCAAATTCTAATCTCGTTTTAATTTTCTATTTTTAATATAAAGTCCAGAGATGTTATCAAGTCTATAAATTAACTAATTTATCCATTAAACTAATTGATCTAGTTAAACTAGTCCAATGAAGTCAATTAACTAACTTATTAAGTACACATTACTTAATTAATTTGTTTATATTCATCAACTAATTTTTATGAGTTCAAATAGTTTAATAATTTATATGGAGTCCAAATCACTAATAATCAAGGATAATAATTATTAATTTAATCACGCTAATTTAATTAGTCAACTAATTCAATAATTTATTTATTAAGTCCAAATATAGTCATTCATTTATACTAGATAACCCAACTTTATTTTCTTTTCCTTATTTTATTACAAACATCATTTTTAGTCCAGAACATTATTTTCAATCTTAGTGATTTATTTATTTCACCATTAATATCAAAATTTCCTTATTTAATTACTTAACTAGTTTATATGGCTCAATTAAATTAAATAACTTAATCATCACTTTTATAAATTACTAATCATCCATAACTATAGTTTGGGTCTATACTAGACCTAGGTTGTCCAGATATTTATTTTAGAATTATTTCCTTTATTTATTCACTTAATTTCATATATCTATTAACCGGTTTAATTACAATTAAATATGCTAATTATAATTTTTATTAATTATAAATGGTCCCAAATGTCCTATTTAGTCATATATTTAATCTAGCTTGCACCCATATTTATTTCATAATTATTTTCGTCATTTACTACAAATATTATTTTTCAATTATTCTTGGTCCGAATATGTATTTTTATACCAGGTATTTAATTTATATTTTTCCAGATTTTATTTATTTCATTTACTATTTTATTTTTAATTTTTTATTAAAAATGGGCCGAACCGGCCCAAATTCGCGACCCGGCCCAAGAAGACTGGGTTGTCTCCTTCCCAGCTTCTCCAGGTCGCGATTCCGGCGACCGGAATCCCGAAAACTTCGGCGAGCGATAACTTTACTTACAGGTAACGGATTTAAACGATTCAAGTTGCAAAATGATCCTGACGTCGAGGAGAAGCTCCGCCACCCCTATCTACGGCCAAATTTCCGCACTTGCTGAAGACCCATTTCCTTGGCTTGCAACTCCGGCGACCTCTAGGATGCTCCGGTGACTACGAATTGGTCTGGAATTTATTGGGAAATATTCCTAGACCTCTCACGACCCTCCTCTCTTGTTTATAGGCAATTTCTTACGTAAATTTATATATGTGTATTTTTCCGGCGAGTAAGTATATATATATATTCTCTACTCGTTTTCTTCACTTTGTGGTGATTTAGAATGGGAAGGAAGCTGTATTTATAGCTGTAGATCGATCATTCTAGGCTGAATCATACATGGAGTGATTGGTTTGAATTATTTCTTCATTATTATTCAATATTATTATACATAGTATTATGAACATGCATGTGTAAATGTTGGTTGTTCTAATGCATTCTAAGTCTAGTCGGCAAGTTCATTGCATATATTATTACCTCTATTTGTATTATTGTGAACACCTATGTGTATGATTGTCATCCACAAGTTACATTTTATGTGTATATGTATATTATTACATGTTACAAAATGTCACTTATAATACTTTGATATTTATTTTTATTTACCTTGTCAGATATATTTTATCTGATTTATTTTTATTTTTATTTATTTTATTTTATTTTTTTCCGATGCCACATAAGTGTTTAATTTTCATTGCATGTAGTGTGCGTATATTTTTATACACCAAGTATAAAAAAAATATTTTGATCTTACTTTCATTTGATTTATCAGATATAACTTATCTGATTTATTTATTTATTTTTATTTCAAATTTTCAAGGTATCACAGAGAATGGCATCGGTGAGCCTAATCCGGCCAGAAAGAAGCGTTCTTCCCAGCCGTCCGGATTCCCGGCGTTGTTCGAAAACAGGACCATGGACGGACGGGCGATCAGGGTCAAGTACCCCGTGCGTCCGAAGGGGGACAGCCGGAAGAAATGATGCAGCAGATCCACGGTGGAGGTCACGCCGACGCTATGGCATCTAATGATGAAGCCAGCGATTATCCGATAGGCGGCAGGGACGAACTGCACAGGCACTATCTCAAGGGCCCTGAAAAGCTCCAAGTGGAAGCTGTGTAAGGGGAAGTTCAGCCCGGCTATCACCGAATCCAAATGGACCACCACATAGCCAGGCAGGTGGCGCATGGGGTTGCGCAGGCGCCGATCGTCGTAGGTCCTTGGGGGATAAAACCATTGGCTGATCAGACGCTTATCAGCATTCGTCAAGCGTTGATTTTGACGCCGGACGCACGAGAAGCTGAGGCTGTAACGGGGGGGCCGGGGCGGCATTCCCCGCTCATAATACTCAAGGTCATCGCCAGAAGAACAACCATCGTCAAAACGGGTTTCAGAAGACATGGCAACGAACGGTACCTTGGAAGTTCGAGGTTCGACACGGCTTGAAGGAAATCTAGAGAGAGAAAGCAATTGTGCAGCGTAAGGAGAAGTGTGAATGAATCACATGGTTTCTGGGTACTTATAGGCAGCACCGTGGAATCGCGCCAACCGAAGCAGGACACGTGGCACCTGGATACCGGTACCTACCACGATATTAGAGGTGCCTCGATTCCATCACCTCAAAATCACGGCAAGGAGACCCGGATCGATGCCACGAACGTCCCGCCAGGGGGGATTTACCAGCTCCAAGGGATCTAGTGACG